TTTACTTTATTAATTAAAATTAATTTTATTAGAGCGGGAGGAAGGCGGGAAACTGACAAACTGTAGCTGCCCATAAAATGGCGTCTTCAGCATAGTTTTTTTTTTAATCGCGACCATTTGGCTCCTTTTAAACTCTTTTAGACACAAATTAATGACACAAAGTACCAAAACAAGCTATAGATACCCCTGGAGTAGCAACCCGTCGATCAAGGTAGAGTCATTGGAATAAAGATTGTTGACATCACCCAATCATCTTTGTCTGTTTTATAGTCTCCGTTCTATGTCAGAGCAGAGGTCCCTGGAGCCTCAGGTTACTGAGAGCAAGACTGGTTTAAGTGAAGGAAACCTCCATGGTGACAAGGGAGCCACTCCAACACTCAATGGTGATGAGGGTATTGATTTGAGAAGGAGAGGGAGAGATCCTCCTAGTTACCACAGGAAGAGAGAAATGACTAAAGCAATGTCTCCATCACAAATTCAGTGAGTTTTTTCGGATGACACATGTTATCTTTTAGGCAGTGGCTATTTTTACGGGCCCGTAATCCGACCGTGGGTGGCTATTTTTACGGCAGATTTATCTATGGATTTATTCATTTTAAAACCTGGGAAACACTCTAAAATAAAAAAACTAAACCCTAAACCAACCTTGGGGACTCCTAACATAACTAGGGGGCTCATAAAACGACTGGGGACGCTCTAAAAAAACCGCCACCCTAACCCCTAAACCCTAAAAACAATAGCTAAGTAGGGAACTCCTAACATAACTAGGGCTCCTAACATAATTAGGGAACATAGCGAAGTAGAAAGATAAAAAAAATCAATTTGTTAAAGTCAAAATTATATATATATAAAATAGAAATAGTCTGAGCTGAATTTGAACCAGTGCCCGTCCATATCCAACCCAGAGCCTTCCCCACTGTGCTACCACGATCCTGCTGCCTTATTGATGCTGATTGTCATCTTTATACGTCACTTCATTTCTATATTCCCTGCCGTAAAAATAGCTGTATACAATGAGATTACGGGACCGTAAAAATAGCCACTACGTATCTTTTATCTTATACATGTACATGTATTGAAGTTGAAATAATTTAAATTTTGTTTTTATGGGTGTTAGTGATCATTGAAATGATTAGTTTGGTATGTGTTATACAACTCTGCCTGTACAGGAAAATTTAATCTTTACCTTTCCTGGCAAATTGTTCTGTATTTTTAGTACCCAATTTATTGATATTTTCACTTTTTATTCGTCGCTCATTCTACATTACATTAATTACAGTGGGACCTCGCTTAATGACCACCCCTTAGTAACAGCTGTCTATCATATAACGGCCAAATGTCCAGGTCCGGATGCAATGGATGTCCGGATCAAGGTTAAGGCAACCCCTTAAGAACGACCACCTCTCTATTGTGTATAACGAGCACTCAAAACGTCCCCAACACAGCATAAAGCATTGAGAAAAACTTCTCTGTAACGGCCATATAGCCACACCCATCACCTAGACCGGATGTTTTTGTCATAAAATGTCACGTGTAGCCCCACCCATCTAATTAAAATGGCTGAAAACTTGAGCATGCCCTTTCTTCTTGCTGTAATTTGCTTATTTTCCCTGCTACCTCTTACATACTACCTACAGGATCTTTGTACTTGTTATTAACCTGAGGAATGAATCAAGATACTTAAAAAGGCAACACAGTTAAATATCTCTTAAGTTAGACACTTTAACCTGAAACCCCTCAATAAAGACCACCCCTATATAACAGCCAAAGGACCAGTTCCCAATGGTGACCGTTATACAGAGGTTCCACTGTATTATGTACTCTATGTATCAGTAGTTTGTAATAGTTATGAGTTTGGCTAAATTAATACATATACATGCACTTGTAGTTGCTGGAATTTTTCCTTTTTTTTAATTTGTAGTACAGGGTGTTTTGTCAACAATGGTTCGAAGAGATTTCTTTCTGATATACTTGTACTTACGTGTACTAATGCTGTGTAGAAACTTTTAGCTGATTCTGATCAAAATTAGATTTTTGATTAAAGATATGAATTTTTTAATTTGCTCAAAAATTGAATCAAAACCTTGTCCTAACATAACCCATATTTTCATTGGAAAATGGAGACTTTTAGTCACGGACACATGTACAGGTTTCGTTTACACTAAAACACATGAAAATGTATACTTATCATATACTTATCTGGAGACATTTGAAAATGAATACTATAAGCTGATACTTCTGTAAATGAATGATAAGCTCAAATGAAAACGTAGCTGCTGGACTAGTATAAGCACCTGAAAACAGTAACAGCAAAAACTATTCGGATTTAGTGGAGAGGAGTACACGTGGTGTGGTCGCGGAGTCCAGTCACATGATG